CATGTTCTTATATTTTTTGGGTGTATTACCACTTTCTATTACAGTTATATTTGGATGTTTAGCATATAGAAATGTACAAAAATTATCTTATCGAACAATACCTCTTGTGCGACGTAAATTAGATCAACAATTAACAGTTATGGTACAAACGCAAGTTGTTTTTAATGTTTTTGCTATTACACCATATACGATTATAAATGCGATAATACTAGATCCCTACATAAAACGAGATCCAGTTGCAAATGCAATATCATCTTCTATTAGAATACTATCGACTATTTTACTTTATAGTTGCTTTGCAGTAAATATAATGAAAATTTAATAAAATGATTAGTTCATAAATATTTCTATATATATTTTTTTTTCTTTTAGAGTCCATTTTACATTTATATTTGTGCATCAGAACGATTTCGTCATCAATTAGTTTTTGTTTTGTGTAAAATGCATCTTTAACGATGGCGTAGTCGAAATGTTGTTACCGATTTAATAATTCCACTACAATAAACTTTGTGCCTTTTTATTAAGAATCTTCTATATTTTTCTTTGTTGTCTATGTATTTGTCTATTTTGTTTTTCAATGATCTTAATTATACGACATGTGGCAATTCAGGTGTACAAAAATAAAACTTTATTGTTTCTAGAAAACATGCGGTTAGACAGTGTCTGTAAAATGTCTGTTTAATTGCATAAAGTAATTATCAATAATCCTCGGCTAATTTTATTCAGGGGGTGTGGGTGGGTGGATATAATATCTACGCCTATCCACACCCTAATTGAAATACTTCGACTTCTCTATCTGAAACTTCGATGCCCATTAAAGAGTACCTCTCGAGAGCTTTCAAGGATGCGAAATCTTTGAAAAAATCGTAGATGGGACCTATCATATTGAAGCCTTCGAAAAACCATCGCATAAGTGCCGAAGTGAAGATTGGAACATAAGTACTTAGATTGTGAGCGGATGTGGGTCGAGTACAGACTCTTGTTAACACCCACACCCAATGACGAATAACTAATGAAGTTGTCATTGAGTACAGATATAAAAGTTTCAGGCTGTCAACAAGAGGAAAGTATGACAAATAAAAGGTGTTATTACATAACCTTCTCGTATAAACTGCACAGTATCACAGGGTATTAAATGATGTCTTGGCATGATACAAAAATTATATTGGACGTAAGGAATGAAATGCTTTCCTGAGTTCAATGAAGAAATTGAATAGAAAACAATTAAAGATTCAATCAGATAAAGTATACAGTTAGCTGATATATATATTCAGAAAGATATAAGAGAAAAACAATACTATATGATTTATACAAAAACAAAAACGTTTTGATCTTTCCAATTCAAAAATACCATAACGATATAATGGTTTTTCTCTATTTCTTTAAATATATCTTCACAATTTTAATGATAGAATCTGTGTAACACTAAAAAGTCAAAATTATTGCAAAATCTCATTGAGAATAGTAATAAATAATAGAAGAAAGAGACTATTTTGCTTAGTGCAAATAACATTTTTGATTTATTTCAATACTTATTCACAGCTAATCAATGGTAAGTCAATAAAAATTCTGAACATCTATTTCAGAAGATCATGAAATTCCGATTCTAACTAATTGTTTCTCAGTGTTCTCAACGAAATCAAAACGTCTAAAAATTGAGCAACTATATTCACTAATACCTTTTAAATTAGTGTTTTATACGAACTTCGGTTTCAGTCGGCATCAAAAATTTGTTTTCAATGAACTAATTTTAAGTCAGAAAAAACAAAATCTTAATGTATATGTAGAAAGAGTATGAAATTTTGATTCTAGCTAATTAATTTTCATTCTTTTCAGTGACTTATAAATAGAGAAAAATTTATCAGACATGTTGTGCAAAGACTTTGTACACGTAGATTAACTACAGCAAGGAAAGTCGTCGAACATAGAACTACGACACGGAGACCTGTCGAAGTTATTCTATACTAACTAGAAAATTAAAAATTAATTCATTATGAAAATGTACAAACACAGAAAAATGAGAAGTATCGTTGTAGAAAAAATTTTCTTCATATTCTTCCCGTTTTACTAGCGATCTACTTGATAATAAACTAATTAATTTGTGGCGTTATTGTATCAAATTTATATCTTGGTGAAGTCTATTAGTGTAAAACTTCACAATTAAAACAGTTTTTTATTCAACTATTGGTGTATAACAGGGCTGTCTCAGTTTAATTCTCAAATTGGATGCAACAGATTTCAAATGAGGTACAGCTGAGATGGAAACTTTGTTACAATGGAGTACATCATTTTGTTTTCTGAGAGAGATACATTAGTTTGGAAAAACTACTAAAAGAAATTTCGTTTATGAAAAGACAACATCATGTTGCACTTTTCTCGATTACATTTCAACTTTATTATTCAGTTTTCCACAAAACAAACACTATCACAGGAAAATAACAACCTAAAAAAGCAATGCTGATCTACAAAATAATATAAAATTTTCAATTAAGATATGCAAATAGTGAAACTGACTATACTTTTCTTTAATTTGAGCGCATTGGATTAATTCAAGTTCATTTTGAGCAAATGTAAAACACTTCGTACATTTCATCTTTCAGTTCAATCTTAGTTTTAATTCAGCAGCTATAATTTCATTAGGATTGAATTTCGATTAGCTGTCTATAAATACTTTATATGACGAAAAACACATTCTGTAAAAGAATTAGAGCAAGGCTTTAAACACGCATAAGAAACAAGTTTTGTTGTTTCATTTAAAGACCAGTTTATGGCAGTACAAAACTAAAAAAATTCAAATGGGATACAAAATGTATACCTCAAGAGTGCGATATTCCAAAACTGAGTACATTTGGTAGTCCTGGTGTATAATTTTCTATTGCAAAGAAAAAATAATCTAATGAATTATTTTGAGATTTAAAAATTTCAATGTTCAAATGATTTTTGACCCTTTGTAAAAATGCAACGAACTACGTATTAGTGAAATTGTTTAAATCTATTTTAAAATCTGTATTCTTAGATAATTCAGCAATCACACTTAATTAAGATATTTTTATTTTCAAATAAATTTATAATTTTATTAATATAGAAATTGTTATAGGCAAAACTATTATTTTGCTGGAGTCAATGAAGATGTTGATAAACGGAGATAACTTATAGATCACAAACTTTGAAGCAAATAGAATTCATTTTCTATGAATTCAATTCTTTTTTATTTTGTATGATTCTTCGAATAAACCACTTGATTATTATGTAATAACTTTCTTATTTTCGAAGAATAGTTTTACTTCTAACTTTGTTGAGAAATTTCATTCATTTTCATATAATTTGAGAGAAAAGAAATAGATTTGTCGTTTATAACTTTAATTTGGATAAAATATTTTCATAATATTACTGTCGACGAAGTTATACTTATATTTTTATTTAACACAGAATGACATCGACAAACCGTGTAACTTTTGACATCACATGCATATGGTATATAATACAATTGATGCTTTTTTATTTTTATTCTCTATCGTGTCTCCTGATGACAACGGCAGTCTAGTATGAGTGCAAAGAAACATTAGTAGTTTTACAAAGAATTCTAATAATATTTTGAATAATGGTTTTTATCAATATCATTTTTTCGATTTACAAAACACAGAGCAAAATGAATATTGAAATTTGAAATAAAAGTGTGATTTGTCTCAATGATTTAGTTCCATTTATCTATGATATGTTTTATGTCATACGTTTCAAGTTAAAAACTAATGTTTATAACAGAAAATCAAAGTTTAAAAATTTCTCTGCTAGACTAACACAATATCCTAAACTCATAGTTTCGTTCAATGCGAACTTTTTGCATTGTGTACTTTTCAAAGATGATATTTCTTCTAATGAACATTTTAAATCGATTAATTTCATCTGAGAATATTTAATTAAAGACTTCCAAAATCTAAACTTTTATTATTCATTCTACTCTCAACACATAGTATAATGCTTTTTTTTTATTAAAATAATAATAATAAGTTAAAAATAAATACTTATCATTTCGAAAAAAAGTTCTTTCAATTGATTACGTAAATCAAATCGGATATTAAATTTTACAAACATATTTATGAAAAAAAACCAATATTGTTCTATTCACAAATTCTAATAAACAACATTCAAGAAGACAGTAGAGATTATATACTCTCAAACAAAATATTGCAATAAACTATTTATACAATCCATAATGAATCATTTATTATGTTCGATTGAATTAGTAAAAATGTTATAATTTAAATTTGTTTAATTCAAGTGTTCTATATTGATATTTACAAGTATTAGTAAAGAAAGTTTTTTATACTGCAGTTTCAGTATTTTCACTAGCTAAATCCAATTCAACTCCATTTTGTGTATATTGTTCCGAAACAATTGCTTCTGTTGGCAGAATCTCCACTGCACTTGTAATAGATGCACTTTTTATTAATTTCGTTGTCTAGAATGCCAAAAACCATAAGAAAAATATATAATTTGACCTAATGCTGTCCACACAAGGAATCGAAAGCCTGTTGTTTTTGTTATACTTTTCATAAGAAGAATACAAAGTAAGGAACCTATGGTTGGAATCAACCATGAACCAAATGGCACTTTAAATGGTCGTTGCATATCTCCATGTGTATAGCGCATCTATAATAAGCACATATCAGATGAAAGAATAGAGATATGAATCAATTGAACTTACAACGATGACCGTAATATGTACGAAAATATATGAAATTAGGGCACCAATTGAAGTTGTTTCACCAAGAATATCTACGGGACAAATACCAGAAAAAACAGCACAAAATAAACCTAAAAATATCGATAAGATTTATTAGATGAATTATATAAAACGATCAATCACCAATAATCAATATTGAAAGCCATGGAGTTGCTCTCTTGTGATGAATTCTAGCAAAGATTTTTGGTAGTAAACCATCATTAGCCATTGCATAAAATATTCGAGTTTGTGAGAGCATTAGAGTTAATGTTACAGTTGTAAGACCAGCGATTGCACCTAAATTCATAAGAATCGATAACCAAAGACCATAAGGTGTAGCTTTTCTATAAAAATTACAATGAGTACTACTAATATTCTCTAACACATTAATAATAACTTACATTGCTTCAGCAAGAGGACTATCTGAATCTAATAAGTTGTATGGAACGAGTCCAACCATAACAGTACATACTCCAATATAAAGTAACGATGAAATAATTGTTGATCCAATTATGGCGATTGGCAGTGATCTCTCTGGTGCCCTTACTTCTTGTGCTACTGTTGATACTGAATCAAAACCCACATTTGCAAAGAATACATAAGTACATGCTTGCAGCATTCCTGTTACTCCATATTCACTAAATAAACCTAAGAGACACAACAAAATTCATTCATTTCTTACATACTTAATAAGACAATCATGTACCTTTATTTGGTGGAAAAAACGGGTGATAATTTTTGCGATCGACATATTTACAACAAGCAAAAATGAATATTAAAAGTATAATAATTTTAATCACAACCAATACAAGATTGACAATAGCTGTTTGACGAATTCCAATAATAAGAAGAATTGTAATTGCAATAGTAATTGCAATAGCAGGTAAATTAATCGCTTGACCAGTGACATAAAAATTTTCGCTATCTTCGTTCCAAGCCACTGGTGCTTTGACAATCATGTTTGTTACATTATAATCAGATACAATATCAACAAGGAGGACAACATGATTGCTCCAAGAAACTGCTAGTGTCAAAACAGCAAATAAATAAAGTAATCCAGAATTCCATCCAATAAACCATGCTAAATATTCTACAATAAATAAGAAAAAAAACTAAGAACTTATAACAATATTTTTGATTGCATACCTCCCAAAGCTAAAACAAAACAAAAAAAACCAAGTGTTCATGAAGGCAAAGTACGTATACAATCGGTAACTTACCGACATAAGTATATGTATAAACTGATCCAGCACTAGGCATCATTGCTCCTAATTCTGAATGTGATAAAGATGACAATAAAGCAATAACGCCTGTTATAAGAAACGAAATGATGATCGATGGACCAGAATATTTTGCAGCAGCTTGTCCACTTAATACAAATATTCCAGCACCTCAAATGACCATTAAAAACTCTTATCACATCTATTCTTTTCAATTTTACTTACCAATAGTAGTACCAACACCTATAGCAAGTAGTTGATACGAATTTAGTGTTTGTCTAAATCCACGGACTTCACCCAGCTCAACGTGTAGTGTTTCCATTGATTTACGTGTACACAATCGTCTGAAGAATACTTGACACATTGATAATTTTTGGTCGATGACAATTCTAGTCTCAAAGTTTATTTTTTATACGTATACCTCTAATATGTATGCACAAGATATATATATTTAATAGAAAGGTATGAAAATCTGTAAAGACAATCTAGGTAGAAAAAAAACGAAGGAAGTAAGCATCATGTAATTAACTTATGGTGCGCAAAACATTTTGATTAATCACCTATAACTATATATTTGTACAAAAAAAATCGAATGAAACATACGAGAAAAAAAGACGTCTTTGTTGGCTGTCATGTTTTTTTCTATGCTTCTTTCTTGTATCCAGTTTCGCTCGTATATTCTGTCATGTGTATTTTCCCTTGAAAATCCTGAGATAAAAAGACTTAATTATGTATTATTTGGACTTTACAAATCACGTTCATGTTTTAATATAGAAATATGCAGATAACGAACAAAATATTGTTGCTCTTTCATTTCATTACATAGACATCATTTTAATGGGGAAAATACCTTCTAATTACTCGATTTAGTCAATCAGAATTAATTAGACGTGATTTATCTTATCAGATGTCACATCTTCTAGGAAGAAGAGTCTTTATTTTTTCGAATGATTTTATTCGTTTCTCGATGTTAATCACTATTTTGTTTACAAAGTAATCAATAATTATTCTTCTCATTCGATAAACATTTTCTCGATATCATATAATACCAGAAGAAATAAATCAAAGATTAATTATTATTGATAACAGATTTTGAAAAAGTTTTAAATTTATTTTTGGTATGAAATGTATTATAATAAATAAAAAAAATAAATAAGTTAGTATAAGTCAACAAATACAAAAAAATGCATTCAGTCAAGATCAACATCCAATTTAAGTAATACTTAGGGCATACCAAAAGTTTTTACGGTACTATACCAATTTCTTATGGAATACTTGAAGAAATTTTCTTTTTTTATGCAATGATAGAGAAAACGATGCTCTATTTTTCTATGCTATTTGATCAATCTTCAACTAATATCATTATAATAAAATTTCGATAAGAACTGTTTTTATGTAAAACTTAACTAATGGATGAGGCAGATTAATACGCTTTGTATTTCATTTTTCAATCACTCAATACATTGTATTAAAAAGCAAAATATACCATAAGATGCAGCGTGAAAAGCTCTATAACTTATAAACAACAGTTTATTTTATATACGAAAGAAACAAGAAAAACAGAATTTCTCTTCGCATGATTTTTTCAGGACAGTGAAAATTAGTCGCACAGAATTTTAGTTTCTTTGACGAGAAATACACTATTAAAATAAGCATTATTTTGTAGATTAGAGAGCTTCTCACGCTGCATCCTGTAATGTATTTTGTTTTTTTTTAAATAAAAGATATCAGATGACAAAACAATGAAATAAGAAAAAATGAATTCATCTCCTATCAAAAAATATCGTTTTCGTACGATCGAAAATTGATCACTCAAAATTTTGTTCATTTTGAAAACAAAACCGGTCTTACGTAAATTGTAGAGCTTTTCATGCTGCATCTTGTGCTTGTATATTTTATTTTTTAATACAATGTATTAAGTGATTGAAACATCTAATCTGTCTCACCCGTTAGTTAAAGTTTACATAAAAATAGTTCGTATAGAAATTTTATTATTATGATATTAGTTGAAGATTGATCAAATATCATAGAAAAATAGAGCATCATTTTTTCTATCACTGCATAAAAAAGAAAATTTCTTCAAGCATTCTATGAAAAAATTGATATAGTACCGTAAAGACTTTTGGTAGGTCCTAAGTAGTACTCTTGAAGCATCATCTAGTAATGTAGGTTTCGATCAAAATCTTATCACGTTACTTCATCAAACTTATCAATAACATCATATTATTAACACATCAATGTGCATTCTCATTCATATGTATATGGATGTCTCGATATTCTTATCAAATTTCTTTTTACTTTGATATTTTAATTGAAAACAATTTCTTTAGTTAATATTTGTTTTATTTTTCTTTTCAACTTTATGAAACTGTCTAATTTGACATCTTCTAACAAATTATTTGTTCATTATTTCCTTAATTTTCCTTGGTACATCTGTCTCAAGTATTTTTCATTCTCATATTTTCTGTCTTTTGAATCATTCTTTATAATACAATTCAATTTGTTGTATATAACATGAGCTTTGTTTAAATATTTGTTTCCGAATAGTAACTATTTTTTTTCTTTTCAACAAATATTTACATCCTTACGAGTTTGATTACTCAGGCAACTTCGCATTAAAGAAGCCCCTCAGAATTGACTTTTCACTTAGAACGGACTATTAGGACTGAAATTTCCAGGAACGATTGATCCGAGTGAGAAACGCGTGTCGTAAGAATTCTAGCTTGATGTGCCTGACTAGACCGAACTTCCGGCTTGTTTTCCTACCTTCCAGGAGAATCGAAATAAATCCGTCGTGATAAGGAGTACAGTGCTCAGGCTGGTTTCAAATTAAAGTTAGCCTCTGTGCGTAGCTTTTCATCGGACGAAATTTTAAAACTTCCTTCCATTTATTTTTGATGAGCATCTTAATGGATATGGTGTTCAAAGTAAGCATTAAAAGGTGACTTGATTAACAATAAATTCTACTTTTCTCAGTTCAGGAATCACGTATCAAAAATCCATCCGATGAAAAGATAGCTCTGATTAAGACCTTTAAAACAAAAGAAAAACATCCCTTATACTCCGAGCCAAGTGGAAGTTATTTCAATTTTCTTGCCTGGAAACCGTATTTTGAGAAAAATACTAAAGAAGTTTTAAAAATGAATTTTTTCATTCAATTTCAGCAAAAAACCATACTCAAATGGTATATTCATAATATGTGTCAGTGTAATTTTTTAAAGCACATAAAAAAACGATGTAAACTAACACTGTCGATCATATTTACGTAAATATAATGATTTATTCAATATCAAAACAAATAAAAGGCAGTTTTCTCAAAATCGAAAAACTTTTAAAAAAACATGTTAGGGAGAGTCGAAAGTTTCTAAAAATTTGGCTTTTTTCCAAAAAGCTGTATATATTCTGAAAGCGGAAATTTCGTTGCATCTTTCTATGATAAAAATTTAACTTCAAGCTTTTTCCGAAAATTTGGATTTTGTGAGGAGGGCTCCGTTAAAGCCTATCTATTGTAGACTTCAAGTCAACAATCTGAATGTAATCTTTATTATAAAATTAATTATTTGGATGTGTGTATGACTGGATTGGGTGGATAGGCGAGCATTATGTTCAGCCATACCCATAGCCTACGACATGAATATGATGTTCATGTATTTACATCAATCATTTCATTGTGCGTGCTCTGTTGTAAATTTCAGAAATCTTTTCAAATAAAAAGAATAACGAATGCTTTATGTATTTAATATATTAGTGCTTGACGGATTTGGTTCAAACTCTTCCTGTGTATCTTAGGAGCCATAAGATTGATGTTATTGAGTGCATTATCCTTTCGAACCTTCAGGTTTAACCAAAGGCAAGAAAAGGGTTAATCTGTGTCACTGGTTACTTATAAAATGCTCGTTTCAATCTTAGCCTATGTTGTAAATAAATTTGCATAAATGGCAATTTTAAGACGAAATTTATTATCAAAATAATATTTAATCAATATATATTACGATTTCATAGTAACGCATTCATCTAAAAGGACCTCTTACATCAGAGCGACTCAAAAAAGTTCACTCATTGAAAATTTCTCACTCTGAACAAATTGCTTTAATTTGTACTTATGGCTAAGATAGCAAACCTTACGATGGTCGAGATATTTTTCTTTGAAAGTCTGTTTCGACAAAGAGTTATAATCAAAACATTACGGTAACACATTCATTGTTGTTTTAATACTCCCTAAAAAAAAGCACATTTTTTTACAACTTTGACAACAATACCAAGTGATCTATACAGAAAAATGCTTGATTTTGGCTGGTGACTAGAGTCCATCGGGTTTGAATGCAACAAATTTTAATCCATCGAATTCACATCTAGAAATTCTTAGACCCGATAGACTCTATTAGTAACTACCATTTATTCTCTTCGTTATTCAACATAAATGATATCTATCGGTAGAGGATATACGAAAACCTATAAAAAAAATTTTTCGAATGAATCAATTCAATCATCTTATGTTCCAGAAATCTTCTGCTTAACTTTGGTCAAGCATGGTCCATTTTAGCTGGACAAGCTGTTTTTAATTGTTGTTTTATTAGAAAAAAAAAATATCAACGATGTTCTTTTCTTTTTTATTTCGTTATTCTCATGCTTATGATGATGATGAGCATAAAAAATCGAATAGAACGTGTAAAAAAAAACCATGCTTATAACACGTCTAAACCATTTTACGTAACAATTGATTTATATATTGTTCACGATTACCAAAATCACCACCATCAGCAAAATGATTAGCTTTTTTACGCCAACCACCTATTAAATTAAAATAAATAATAATAATATATTTATTCAAATAAATTAAATTCTTACCTTTTGGATTATTAAGTTTAAATGGCCAAAGAAAATTTGATGCCTTTTTAAAGTTTTCTCCAACAGTAAATAATTCATGAACAAGATCTTCCATACAAATGATATTATATTTACCGAGTGCTTTTTCAATAACACTATTATCCGATAATGGCATACGTTGTTTATTAGCTTTACCAAAACCACGTTTATAAATAAGTTCACGAATCGATTTTAAATTTGGATAACCCCATGCAATATAAGGTTCAGCAATACGTAACATTTGAACAGTAGCTTTATTAAGTTTAACAAAGATACCATTATTTATTTGACGTAAACGAAATAAACGTAAAACTTGTTTTACACGTGGATGTACACCACGAATACTAAAAAACAACTATTTTTGTTTTTTTCATATTAACAAAAAAAAAAATGCACAACATACCCACGTATACGAATAACAAAAGCAAGTGATGGTTCTGCTTCAACATGATAATT